AAAAGCTAAAAGTAATTAATATTATGATGGTGTAATATTCAAAAATCGATTTGGTTTTTCAATTTTACCCTCATATTTGGTCTGTTTTATGTTAAAGTACTTTTGAACCAACTACATGATTTGTTTATAGTTGCACTAGTCTCTTCGATTTGATTTTTAAAACCATGTTCCTTTTAGTACATGGAAAAACCTCTTTCATAATTTTAGAAGGCATCTAAAAGATAATTATAGAATTTGATGGGGACTCATGATTATAAATATGTGGCTTGAGGTTTGTAAAGATAAAACATTTCCTTGATTGAATGACTTTCTTATTGGATGTCATCCAAAACATGTATACTTTTAGAGCTTTTGTCAATGATATTGGTGTTGTGCTTATTTTGCTGGTCAAAGAAAGCCAATCTTATCCTTCGAGACTCATCGATTTGTTAGAGAGAAAACTTATGAATAATTTATTACAGGGTAAATCATGTTTATTTTAACAAAAAATTTTCTAATGTTAGATCTAAGACTGCGACTTCTTATGGGTCCAATCACCCATAAATTATTAAGCCTTATGGGGGATTACTCTTGATTAATGAGGTTTATTATGACCACCTTTATGGTTAAATTTATCATTTATGTTTGAATGAGTTAATGGGAAATGAAGGAGACTGAGGCAAACTCGATTAAGATCTTTTTGTCTTATTTTTCTTAATATGTTAATGTAGCAGTATGCCAATGTTAGGTGGCTTTAAGTGATGACATCCAAGGAGTTTACTTAGCAACTATGAGTTATCTCCTCTCAGGCGCCTCGAATGGACATGGATAAAAATTTATACGTGCACCAAAGATGCGATTTGAGTTTGCCATCTACTCATTCACTGATAGACAACCAGCCATACCAATTTCTTTGAGTAGTTCAAGTGCAACATAACATGGCCAATGATTAACGAGCTCAGTGACATGCATGACCTTCAGTTCTTCACTTAACTTTAAAAATGTGTCTAGAACACAATATTTTTTATTTGCGTAATTTTATTTAACTACTTGATTTTGATTTGTTGGATTAAAGCATAGAGGCCTAAGTTTAAGTTGGATTGGAAAATACATCCATAGAAAGCTCAATATTTTATTTTATGGATTTATTTGCGCAGCCCAAATTAATCGAGATAGGATGGGGGCCTACATCAATTGGAAGGCACCTTAGTGAGGCTTACAATCTTGAGGATTTGAAAAGCTAGTAATTGGTCTTACAGCTTTGCTTTTTGTTTGGAATTTAATTTTTAATAATATAATCCATATTGAGAGGATTCACTAAAACTTCAGATCAAGTGGGAGTTAGTATGATCAAATCTTGGTCCTGAGCTTATTTGCCTCAATATATTGAGAAACATTTTGGGGCTAGGTTATGCATTTAATGTAATGACACTCTTAGCATTATGAACTTGTCTCAGTACTAAATATGGGTTGAATGGAGGAATGTGTTATCATGCTTAGCTTAAGTGCAATTTTGTATTTTATTAGCCTAAGGACAATTTATTCTTTAATTATTTATTTGTGTTCAGTATAAATAGGGTTTAATAGTTTAGGATTAGGCTTATACATGAAATTGGGTCTTGAGCCTTGGGATTAAGATTTTGGAGAGATTTTCTACCTCTTGAATTGTAGGATTTGGGAGAGATCGCCTACCTCTCAAATTGTAGGTTTTATCATTTATTTCATAAGTTTGTGATTGTATTATTTGCTTTTGAGAAATAAAAAAATTATTTTTCCCTAATGTCTATGGAGAATCCTATCAAATGGTTTTAGAGCAATCGTTTGGGAGATCACCAACAAGATGCCGGTGAATAGGGCTTGAACTCATTTTGTCGGATCTCCGAGCACAAGCATACTGAAAAAATCGCGTACGGGGTTGTGATACAATCACGATAAGAGCTAGTTAGTCCGGAGCATTTGTCATCTCGACTGAATCGTGACGTCTAGTGCCAAAACAGTCGCATGAAGCAGTCATGGGTAGCAACTTCGGAATCGCAGCATGCAGACTAGAAAGATTTTTATACAGTCGAATTGGAACCCTCACACAACTGTTTCAATTCGAATTAGTTGGGAAGCAACGTTGAAGTCACGAAGAATTGAGTATGTGTGGCTTCGCTGACTCGCTATACAATCATGATTGTCAGGGAAGAAGGATTGTGGTGTAGAGAGCAACATCGACTGACCAATCTAGACGCGAACAATGGGATTTTGACTTACATTGACCTAATATCGTGATAGTCGCGGTTGGAGCTGCCCATTTTTGTGCCCAAAAGGCTCTTTTGTGTAGCTTTTCTTTTAATACGGTCTCTGATTCGTCGGAGCTTTTTGATTTCCTTCGTGAAGACAAGGCCTCTTTTGTATAGGTCTAAGGACCTCTTTTTTGTATTTTCTTGTACTTCCTTTGTTATTTAATGTAAAATGCACACCTTTTACGAAAATCAATGACGATATTGATGTGATCCGGGATTACTGACTTGCGGTACATTTTCGATAAGAGCTTGTTGGGAAGTGACGTCGAGATTTCGTGGTATAGAAATTTTTCCTTTGTGATTGAAAGTTTTCTTGAAAGTAATGACGACCAAGAAAAATGGATGCCTTTGAGTAGAAATTAAAGGGAGAGTTAAACCACATCAAATATGAAATAGGCAAACATTTTTTAGGGGAGTTTCGATAGAAGATTTACAACCCTGAAAGAAATGATAAAGAAAATCATGCAGTTTAACACAAAATCATCTCCGCCCGTCGCGGGATCGAGCTACGACATTGGGAAAGGGCACGAACTGTAGCAACCAAAAGAATTCGCTCAACATCAGGCTGATTGGGAGCTACTGTATCAAGCGAAGAAATCAAGAGCAAACTTGAGCGGCAACACTTGAAAGAAATAACATAACATTCGGACGGCTTGAACAAACGGATGCAAACAAGTTCAAAGTTGACAGAGATGGAAGAAACACATGATACGGAGTTGACAAAGATTCTAGTGATCGATGAGCTACGAGATGAATTGTTAGGGGTTGAGATATTTTCTAAGATTGATTGGAATTTAGGACATCTCTAGATGATGCTGACCATGGGAACCATAGACTTGATCCTACAGCTTTTTTTCCTAGCTTGAGAACAAGATGTCTTTTGGGAGGGTAGTATTGTTATGTCGGTGCCTAGCCAAAGGGCATATTTATCTTTTATTAGCGACAGGGCAATTTAAACTTTTATTATTTATTATTGTTTGATATAAACAATGCTTAATAGTTTTGGGCTAAATTTATGCATGGGATCGGGCATTGAGTTTTTGGTTTAGGGTTTGGGTGAGATTTCTTACCTATTGAATTTTAGGATTTGGGAGAGATCGCCAACTCTCAAATGGTAAATGCTTATCCTTTATTTTATATATTAGTGGTTGTATCGTTTGCTTTAAAGAAATAAAATATTTTTTTTGCCCTAATTTCTACAGAGAATTCTATTAGAATGTTATGTCTTTGCATCACCATCAATGATTCACATTTAGATATTTATAATATTTTAGGGAAATTTACATACATACCAGACAATTTTTATTTATTTACATATTTAGCATCTAAAATTTAATATTTACATTTATAACACTTTGATGTCATAACCTATGTATTTAAAGAGTATTTAAATTTTAAAAAGTTAGTAATAGTCATTTTTTATGTAAGATTAAAAATTTGAAAGTTCGTAAATAGATGTGTAAATACATAAGAATTTGGTGGCATGTATTTGGATTCCCCTACTCTTAAGACAAACCTATTTAAAAGATGCAAACCTTATCTTTTCTGATATATCCATTCAAACTGTTTCTCACAAATAAGGAGAGCGCACCATTCCGTGTAGAGTTTTGTTTTTTTTAGCTCTTGAGAAAACATAAATTTCTTTGTGAATTACTATAAATATATAATGTCATTAAAAAAACCCAAATTTTGATCTATAAGGACTAGTTGGACATTCGTTGTCTGCAAAGGGCAGCTAACATTTTGAGTTGTTGTACAAAGGGAAATTGCTTTATCCGAATTTTCTTTATTTTAGCCAAGAGAAACTCACTTATGAGCGAGAAGGTAGATTAATTTCTCCCGCAAAAAAAAAATTAAAAAATTAAAATTCCTTCAAGTGAATGATGGTAATTAAACGGTTCAAACAATTTTATTGATTTTGAAAACTTGATTAACTTGAGCAGATAAGTGTATTCGTCATCCAAATGCATCCATGCTGCAATAGATTTGCCTTTTGCAGCAGCGGCAAATACTTTCCATCCTGCAATAGATGAACACTTAACATAAACCTTTATGTAGCTAAGTTTGGGGCCTGCCAGATACCTTTAAGGAGTTGGAGCCTACTGGATACCTCTATGTAGTTGTTGGAACCATTTAAGGTGGTACTGAGCAGATACTGTGGAACGTTTTTGGAGGACGAGCAAAAGTTCCCTCATGAAATGGATTTTTCTATCACAGAATTCTCATTTATTGTAGATTAGTAGATTGGTGTCAAAAACTAATTTAAATTTCTGTATGAATCATGAATTTTTTTTAATGCTCATACTTGCAGGGAAGACATGTTCTGTTGATTTTTTTTTCAACCATTTAATTGCACACAATTCTTATGTATTTACATATCTCACACCCAAATTTTCATATTTACACAGCCATTTAGTAGCACACAATTCTTATGTATTTACATATCTCACACCCAAATTTTCATATTTACACAGTTAGCACTCAAATCTTTATTATCACATTAAAAATAGCATTATTATCACTTTTTAAAAGTGAAATACACCTTTTCATGCATAGATTTAGAACACCAAAGTGCTATGCTTATAAATATGAAAGTTTAGGTGTCAGATATGTAAATACATAAGAATTGTGTGCTATGTATGTAAATTTCCCTTAATTTTTTGGTGCTAAGTATAATTTACATCTTTCCCATTTTCTCTTGTGAAATTATACTTTGATATTTTTCTTTTCTAGGTCTTGGTTTCGTAACTTCCATGACATTCATTTTCTTGGTTGGCGTTTTCATGTCATCATGGCTTGGGGCATCTATCCTTGGCCTTGGCGAGTGGTTTATCAAACGGATGCCTTTTGTTCGTCACATATATAATGCCTCAAAACAAATTAGCTCTGCTATATCACCTGGTAATTTATTTTAAATTTCATTTTTTGTTGCCTGATTTCATATGTTTTCTAAATGTTTTTTTCCCGTGCAGACCAGAACTCGCAAGCTTTCAAAGAGGTGGTTATCATAAGGCATCCAAGGATTGGAGAATATGCGATTGGGTTCATCACTTCTGCTGTTATTCTTCAGGTACTTTTCTTCATGGTGTGGAAATCTCTGAATATTTGGAAACTGAATGATTTTTTGCAATAAAGCACATTCAGACTAGCGTCCACCTTATTGTAACTTTTCTATCATCTTTATATGCACAAAACATTCAGTTATGCTTCCTACTATTTGGTCTTTCGCAATTTTTTGAATTTCATCAGTTTGGTGGCTTAACTCTGTTTTAACCATTTAGATTTACATTTTGAAAGTAATATGTTTTGATTTTTGAAAAATGAGACCAAATGGATCTCATTCGTCCAATAGTTTGCATAATCGTATCTGATACCGCGAATACTACACCCTCCCAAAAGATAAGTGTAGACCTCAGTGATAGACTCAATCCTGCAAACTAAGAGATTTGTGACATCCGTTTGGTCTGCGAACCTTTTATGTATGACCGACAAGTTCCCCTACTTAATACCAAAATTAAATAGGGTTTATTTTACCTGAATTCCAAGTTCCCTATAGAGGCAAGCCCCTATAGTTAATTACATCTCAAATGACTGGAGTCACTTGAGAAAACTCTCGATAATGATCAGTGGTTCTAGTCTTCAAGATTTCAAGATTTAGGTTTTCACGGTAGGATAAGGAAAATCAAGTGGGAATGGCTCAATGCGGAACACTTATTTTCAAGAGTTCAAAGGAAGGAGAAGGTATAGGATGTCACTGATCCGAGATAAATCTCGATGACTTCTCAGACTATCCTACGGTGTGGCTACATTTTTGGAGACAACGTTAATTAAGTGTTTGATCTTGCCATTTTTTTTTATTTGAGACTTAAACTTGCATAATGTCTGATTATGCAAATAGCCCACAGAAATATGAGGGTTTACGTCGTACCGTATGACAATCTCGGAACCTAAGTCGAGTTAGGACTTACGCTGCACAACATGGTTGCACATGAGCCTAAAAAGAGAGTGTGAGGATTTACGTCGGGCAAGGCGAGCTATCTCAAAGTCGTATGAGTTGTTATTATACTAGGAAGAGATAATGCTGAAAAAGTTCCTCTTGCTGCTCACTCCAAGCTCCTCATCCTGCTGCCCACAAAGTTGGTTCCAAGCTCCTGTCGTCGCGATG